AATAGCGAATAACTCGGAAAATTTTTGAGAAATCGGGCAAAATGAAAGGTGATCATTTGAAGGCTTATTAAAATTTCCTATCGATTTCTACAGGGCGCCGCTCTAAGAACGATTTCCTGGCTCCACAGCTCAATCTGAAGCATTGGTAAAAAGTCCAAAAATTAGCATGTTCCCAAATTTTTGAATTTACTGATCGATCACTGAATCTAGGAAACATTTAAAAAGACGTCTTGTTCTGCATAAAATTTCATAAAAAAGGAGATCTAGCGCAGGTCACAAGACTTAAAATTCTGAAAAATATGCATTTCCAAAGTTGGCCATTTTTTCGTGCAAAAACCAAAAGTGTATATGCAGTTGTGAAGCATTTAAAAAGACGTCTTGTTCAGCATAAAATTTTCTAACAAATGAGATCTAGCGCAGATCACAGGACTTAAAATTCTGAAAAATATGCATTTCCAAAAATATGCAAAAACCAAAAGTGTATATACAGTTGTTGAAATAAATACATGAAGTCAAACAACAAAAAGACTTAAAGAGCTTACATAAGGAACTAATACAAAAAATTACAGACGTTTGCTGCATTAAAATCGGAGGAAAAAGTCGTCAAACCTGTAAATTAACTAAAAATAAAAAATATATATGGCTTTACAAATTAAAGACTAGATATGTTGAATGTAATAAGATAATTGGACATAGGAAAACAAATGCAATAAAGTAATTTTTCGATTAGAGGGCAGATACAAGATTAGACGAACCCGTCGCCTTTTTCATTGTTTGTTGTAATCTGGCGACGGTGTAGACACGAGACAGCAGGGTGAAAGGGCAATTTAAACTGTAAATCTATGTTAATATCGTTTTTTCCGTCGCTCAGAGGCACGGATTAGCTGTTTACATCCCTCGAGCTCCCACGGGTTCAAGGGTTCAATTTGTTATTCAGATTTTCCCTGAAATTTTGATAGAGACAGTATTGCACAGTCGGTGTTTTCCTGTTTTTATTTTTTACAATACGGAAAATTCAGAACTACAAGCACATCGTAAATTAATAATCTATAAATTGTAGGGATTTAATTTTACATGATTTAAACGATGATAAATGTTTTCTTGGGATTCAATACTTCTTCGTATTTAAAATTTTGAATTATGTATTTCGTCATGTATTATGTACAAGTAGGAATTAAAAGTTTTTTTTCCCCCGCTGAAGGTAATAAATGATAATAAATAATCGATGTTGTCCTCATAGACATCTCACATCCATGGTTGAAGTGTACAAGCCAATTCACTTCTCGTTTTGTCTTCTTTTTCTAGAAATCGAATAAAAACGTTTTCCATATGATGTCGCTGAAAAAGGGGTCTTCTCTTTATTTAAAGTGATGTTATGGGCAGCAGAAACTTTGGCCCTCTCACTCTCTCTTTCTTAATTTGTCTAGCTCTCTCACTCACTCTTATTTTGTCTAGCTCTCTCACTCTCTTTGTCTCTGTTTCCAACCCACTCTCTCTCTCCTCTCTCTCTCTCTCTCTCTCTCTCTCTCTCTCTCTCTCTTTCTCTCTCTCTCTCTCTCTCTCTCTCTCTCTCTCTCTCTCTCTCCCTCTCCCTCTCCCTCTCCCTGATAATTGCAAGGCTATCACTTAATTTATTCATTACGTGCTTTGTTTGATTAAGTTTAAAATGAATTTATTTTTACAATATGAAGAATGAAACGTTTTGATATATTTTTTATGAATTTGAATGACTTATTTTGTGTGGTGATTAGCGACCGTTAATCGATGATTATTCAGAGATCGTGAGATGCGGTCTGGTTTGATGTAGGTTTCAGACAAAAATTTCTTTATCGTGCCAACGTTTCGATCTTTATTAAGATCATCTTCAGGGCTCAATAAAGATCGAAACGTTGGCACGATAAAGAAAGTGTTTTTCTGAAACCTACATCACACCAGACCGCATCTCACGATTTCTGAATAATTAGACTTATTTTATATTCACTTTATCTCCGATTCTCTCTCTCTTCTCCCTCTCTCTCTTTCTCTCTCCTCTCTCTCTTTCTCTCTCCTCTCTCTCTCTCTCTCTCTCTCTCTCTTTCTCTCTCTCTCTTTATCTATCTCTACTCTCTCACCCCAATAATTACAAGAACGTTGATTAATTCAGGTCACTACTTGTTTCTCATGAAGTTTAAAATTTATTCGTTTACGCAATTTGTAGAAGAAACTGCTAAACTTTACAGGGTTGAATTTCTCCCTGCTCTGTATGCATTCACGCGTGAGACAATTTCAATTCCACTTCCGTGAACAATATAAAACCAACAAAAAATAGAAAAAGACAGCAGCACAGAACCTACAAATCAGGTACCTTTTTCCACCGGGCTTTTTATTTTTTTCCACCTGGCTGTCTGCGCGCCTACACCCCTTCAAAGGACGTGTGGAGGGCAGTAGTTTCGCAGGTTTAATTTATTCCAAGGGGGTGGATAGACTATTGCGTCAAACTTCTGAAACCTATTTCTCAAAGGAAACACCTTCTTGATGTCGCCGACCTGGTAGCGCCAAGAATTCGGGCAAAAAACAAAAAACGTTTTTTAACGCTCCGGGCTATTAAGACCTTGTTCCCATAATTTGGTGCAGACGGTCCTAATTTCCTCTATAAAAAAACCATTGCAACCAATTACAACTTATATATGTACATATAATAATAATCTTTTTCATCATCAAAAATAGATAGATCAAATTCTTCGTCCAAAGTTAAGCTTTTTATATTTAAGAATATATCCATAGTGTTAATGATGCAGTTCTTCATGGGATTTATAATAAATCGTTTTGGCATTACCACCCCTTGTCGGAAAGGCGATAGATTTGCCTCCCCGAATCATTGCTCGCCCTCAGAATTTTAAAGACTTCAACAACTTAGCCACTTAAAAACCCCAGCGATTTATTCAAAACACAAAACTTCATTATGGTCTCACGCTAAGAATTTCCAATATATTATTTTATATTCATTACTACTCCCCTTCAATTTAGCCCTGGGATCGCAATTTCCCTTACATTTAAATTTTAAGGTCGGGCGAGGGTGGAAGGAATGTTTTCGACAAGTTCTGGGCTTCCCTCTGCTACTCCTCGCTACCTGTGAAGGGGGTGTTTTTGTTTGATCTTTTCTGGCATGGCCTTTCTTAGAATTTCTAGCAAGGGCTTGGGTTCTTTCCGTCCCTGGGCTAGAAACCGACGGAATAATAGTGTTCTGTCTAACATAAATATATTTTTTCCAGGAAAGACCAATCGCTGGAAGAAATTTATGTTTCGAATGGCGCTTAATGGATATGTGCTGGTCGGTTTCATTTAGTATAGGCCCGTTTACTCTTCATTGGCTGTTAGGACTTTCAAAACCCCCATCACACATAAGTAATAATTTAATGTATGAATTAATTTTAACCCAGGCACTATGTACGATTTGTCGAATTATGTTATCTTTTTTTGCTTAATCCATGCACTTGTTACCATGTACGATTTGTCGAATTATGTTGCCTTTTTTTGCTTTAACTATTTTTCTATTATCTTAAAAGATGTGTTGGAAAATGAACAACATTTTTTCTAGTACATAAGACAAAACCTATGTCAATTATGTATGAAAAACATTTCTTCCTGTCTATGCAAATTGTAACTGTAGTCAACTAGTTCTAAAAAATTAAGCTGTTTATGTTGTAGCAGGTTGCTAGTTAAATGTTGCTTTAGTGCGAAGACCACATTAACCTTAATAATTGAAAGGATTTCACAGTTCATAATTCATGAAAATGGACTTGAATATAATCTAGAATCTTGTTTATTAATTTGACCCTCTTAAAATGTTTATAGAGTGCTTTTACGTATAACCACTCTTGACATTATAACCATTCAATATTCTAACATCAATAAATTTATGTCAGGTATAATTAGGAGTAGTTTAGCTTCTGCTGGAATAAATTACATTAACGTACTCACTTCGCTATTTATCTTCTTGCGGTAAAGACATTTGAGAATCGAGTTCAAACGAGACACAGTACGCGCCCTTGTTAACCTTTCCCGGGGGAAGCAAAAAGTTGTATTAATATATTAGATATACAGTTCGAAAAGTCTGGGGGTCATGATAAGCCCGAGGGGTAGATACCCCTATTTAAGGGCTGAGAGATTTTTTGCCCGCCCTTCTAACGGTCCTTTACAAGCCTGGGAACACTGCCTAGTTCCAAGAACTTGTTATTGTTCCTTTCTTTCGGCCCACCGCTTTGCTGGGAGCCTTCACATACATGTGACCAGATTGGAATTCTTTTCCCAAGTTTCGTGTTTCCTTAATACCTTTCGTTTTCTACCTATTTCAGAATATAAAAAAAAAATTCTGGAAACTTTGTAGTAATTGTTCATAAGTACAGGTTTTCTTTAATAACATCTTGCATATGGCCACTTCCGACAACTTTGGAATATAGAAAGTTTTCCAGTTGACTACGTTAATGATAAGAAGAACACTAAACCAATTATGATTAGGTGGGAAATTAGAGTTTTCATGGGGAAAAAGATTGAAATTATCTTTTTAAAAAATATTTTAACTCAGCTTCGTATTACCTTGAGCATACCATCGCCCAGTTTTTAAGCTTTGCAATGACAAATTACAAAATTAGTAATAAATCACATCCCTACCTATGTCATGGATTTGTGATTATTACAAAAATATCTCAACGTCGTATGGGTATGTTGTGAATTGATCCACATATATGTTATAAAAATTATGCTTTGTGTATCATTTTCGTTCTTTGGCGAGGATTAGGGGCTAAATATAGTTTTTACCTTTGTCCCTGAGGATCTCGCCGATTTTCATGCTTTTTAGCATGCTTTTAAGTGGTGGTAGTTGAAGTCCTTTTTCTTCCATAAACGCCTTTGAACCCCGACATCCAATGTGGCTTTGATGCCGGCCGGGATGGTTTGATAATTATTGATTTTCTAAATGGTTTCCTACCGATTTGGAATAACCTGAATTATTTTTGTTACAGTTGACGACGTCGAAGCGGGAGATCGTTGTCAGCAGAATGGAGGATCGGGTGATCCCACGATGCTTCTCGACCATGTCCATAACAGCGATAACAGAAGGTAGCCGATTAAATCAAATTTAATTATTTTTGAAATTTAAAAGCAGTAGAGCAAACAAGATCATCTCTTACTACCAAGTCTAATTTGCCGTATATGACCAGTCAACAATAAAAATTATTGTAACAAGCCAAAAGTTAAATCTACATGATACTTTACACTATAAACATATACCCACAACTCTGACCGAAACAAAAACCCGATGGTAGTTTTCTTTTTACATTTTATTTTGTCCACAAAGCAACATTTTAAAACGGATTTCGGCTATGCTTGGCTTATGCTTGTGCTTATACTAGGCATCTGCATGAACACAAAGGAGAGGGGAATCCTTTCTGAATGAAGTAGGCCTGGCTATAAATACGATTCGACATTTATTGTTTACTTGATTAATAATATATAGTAGTGTTCGTCACACTCTTCCTATTAATTGATGCCTTTATATCTCATAAATTTAATATCAGAATTGCTTAATTTTTAAGCGGGCTTTTATGAACTCACTCAAATGCACAAGATTTCTTTAATATTTTCTTTTTGGTCGTGTGCTGGTAACGTTACTTTATCATTATCTGTAAGCTTCAAATTTGTTATTGGCATTTGTTCTGCATATAAATATTTATTATTATGTAATATTTTGTGAATACAGCTGACACATCTGTGGTGATCAGTGACCGTTAGTCGATGATTATTCAGAAATCGTGAGATGCGGTCTGGTGTGATGTAGGTTTCAGAAAAACATTTTCTTTATCTTGCCAACTTTTCGATCTTTATTGAGATCATCTTCAGGGCCTGAGATTTATAAACATTGTTTAAATTTAACAAAAACATGTAGGATGTGGAAAGAAGTTAATGTATACAATGCAAAAAAATATTTTTTTTATATTCAATCAAAGTATTTCTACTCACTCAAAGTGTTTGTTTTCTGCGTAGAAATACTTTGATTGAATATAAAAAAATATTTTTTTTGCATTGTATAAATTCACTTTTTTCCACATCCTACATTTTTTGTTAAATTTAAAAAATGTTTTTAAATCCCAGGCCCTGAAGATGATCTCAATAAAGATTGAAACTAAATTCACTAATTTCGTGGTCCGCTTGACCAATTAATTACGGTTTTTTGTTGAGATGAAAAAAAGTTAATGGCACGAGCGGGATTTGAACCCACGATCTTCTTGAAAAATGGCAAAAGGAGGGAAAACTCATAAGGTGGGGTTGAGATGGGGAGTTGATGTCCGAGTGGATCGAGGTCACGATAGCTCAGGTGGTAGAGCGTATCTAGCCGAAGATCGTGGGTTCAAATCCCGCTCGTGCCATTAACTTTTTTTCATCTCAACAAAAAACCTTAATTAATTGTAAAGATTGAAACGTTGGCACAAAGAAAATGTTTTTCTGAAACCTACATCACACCAGACCGCATCTCACGATTTCTGAATAAACAGCTTAGCACACTTAGCACCACAGTATTCTGAATTGTCATATAAGTAAGTCATGTACGCAAGTCGAGTCTGACCTACTTTAAACAGCAGCCCAACAACATTGATTGTGCCCAGTATTTGTATTTTTTTTGTTAATTTATTGTTTGGCCTATTACGTATTTTTAGTGTACCAAACGAATATTAATGTTTTTTTTCAATCGGTACTCTTCGACCGCAAATATAGCGGTTTTTTTAACCAATAGTAAACTATTTGTACCAAGTAGGTGGGTCTTTAACTCCTTTCCGTTGACGCAGCCTGTTGGATCCCGGCCGACCGTCTGGATTATTCTTAGGCGTGTCGACTCCGAGAACGTCTATTTTGGGTCTTTCCGACCAGACACGTTCGACGAGGGGGGGGGGCGCCAAACTGCACCATTCAAACCATTTGTCCGGGAAACGAGGTCTGAACTTTCTTGATGAATTATCCAGAATTCCCTATGGCTCGCCCTTTCCCGGTGGTAGGTCCTGGTCAAGAGGGCGTTTCCTTAAGAACCGATACCAGGTACAAGCCCATTTCCGGTCAAGTCCGATTCCGAAACTCTGCTCTGTATTAACGAACTGTTTTCAACAGATCAAAGGCTGACAAAAAAACAAATAAACTTCATATGATAATTAATTATTTGATTCCATCCTTACAACTCTTCTAATGGTCATAATCGTCCTTACCAGTCTGCTCTAAAATTTGTAAATTTGAAACGTTTACTTGTGTACTCTGCAAAACACAAAAATTTGGTACACAATAAGAGCAACATTTAAGATTTCTTTATAATTAGAAAAAAATCGTCTAATTTTTACGAACATTCGGGTGAATATATGCTTGTTTAGTTGTTGCACATAAACGATCTCGTGGTGCTTACAAAGAAAAGGTTTATTTTATTTTATCTATTTTCTTGTAAGAGAAGAAGGTGAAAACGATGGATAACGGAATTTTGTTCCAATTTTCCTATTATCACTTTTTGAAGAATTTTCAAAGAATCTATAACTTTGCCAATTTCGTTCACTGCACGAAGTCTGGTATGGAAGTAACTCACTTAAATTCAGAAATAGCGCTTTTGATGTTCTCCCGTTGAATTAATAATTTCCGCTTCTTGTGTAATGAACAGTGTCAGAGACACGACCGTAGTGCAAAGGCGAACAGGGTATGCTAAATCTGCAAACCACCTTAACACAGCGTATAAAGCATATTGCGCCACCCTGTTCGATTTTCTTTTCCGAACCTTGAAGAATGGATAGGCCTAAAGTTTAGATCTTTAACAATTGGACCACCGAATGGCGGCAGCTCTTGCATAAGATTTCATGTTTTTGGGTTTAAAAAAAATTATACATACAAATTATTTATTTTTGAAGCCGACATTCTTTAACTTAGTAACAAGAACAATTCAACAGTCGAAACCTTAATTTTATTAATCGTAATGAACGAACACAACCCTGATCCAGTTGGAAAATTTAACCCCCCTGTCATCTTTCCTATCCCGGAGTGAGAACAGGCGGATTAGGTATAATTTTTGGTCAATCAAAACTAAGACTACTCTCGATACGCAATTTGGAACATGAAGGAAACATGTAATAATATTGATAAACAGAAACTTGCTTGAATATCCATGTTCACGTATATTCTGGATTGTTATTTGGTTGGCATGAGATTTTTTTACACCTTTAAAATATACTAAAATAATGTTTCAACAATCATTAAAAGTGTTAGTTAAACCGAATTCTACTTTTATTTTTTAAATACTATCTAAAAGTTTGTTGGATATTAATTTTGAAAGATAAAGTAGACTAGCAATTACAGTATATATTTTATTTTAAACAATACAAATTTCTAGCGATATTTTCTTCTCCCTCTTTTTCTCTTTGTGGTGCATTTTCATTTTTTTTCTTAAATGGCATATACGGGTTTTTAAAGTTAATAAAGAAAAATTATGAACAATGTTATAGTTCCATGTAAATTTGAGTAACGTACCTGTGATCCAGTTTGAATGAGTCACTCATAAAAAGGTTAAATTCAAAAGGTATGACATTAGTTAGATAAGTTTAATTCTGACGTGTCGAAAGATTTTATCGATGTGTTTAGCAACGCCATTTCATGTTCTATATATATATAATGCAGTTACGCTTTATTATTAGGAATAAGTTCTAAAAATAAAATAAAAATGACCAAATTTGTTGAAAAAAAGAATACAAAGATAATACCGCCTACGTCTTAAGTTTGTGTACAGTTCCTCATGATTCACCAGCACCGCCTATTTTTTAAAAGGATTTCACACTTTAAAGTAAGATTATGGAATCACCGTTTAAACAAACATAGCGTTGATAATTGAGTTTAAAATAAAAAAAACTAATTTGGTTGAAATTTGGCTGAATAAGTTTTCAGTGTACTTATCTGAATTTTCTAATATTTTATCCAACTATAATTTTTTTAAGAAGGAGAAAAGAAAAAAATGGATCCATTGTCCATCCATTCACGTTTTTCCTATTCAGCGTAAGTTGGGTTTTCAGTAAATTTATTCCCTGATAAATATTAATATCTGAATATTTCAAACATCCCGAAGGTTTATTATCGGGCTTAGTTCGTGATGGCGTGTTGGTCCCAATAAGATGGCGGAATAATTCTATCAATGTTCAGTAGTTTTCTACTTTGAAATTTTCCTCCTAATCATATTTTTATCAACAATTAATGTGATCGCATAGTTCTGTGTAAACTTAGTAACAGGCTGCTGCCCGTCTCCAATTTTATTCAAAAATATATCTTGGATGGATGGTATAGAAGGTGTGGAGGAATGGGAATCTCTACAGAAGTGGACATGTCCATTCAGTTCTGTTTGCACCATTGCTCAAGTAAGGTACGACGAAAATTCATGCTAGAAAGACTAAAAGAGACTTACGAAACTATGGTCTTTCAATGAACTTTGATAAACTAAATTCCTGGCCTTTGATGGTATAAAAGAGAAATCATATTAGGAAATGAAATAATACATCAAAAGGAATCATTTAAATACCTTTGGCCACTTATAGATGAAACAGGAAAATGTGAAGCCGACATAAAAAGTAGAACGGGAATGGCGAAAAATGCTGTCAAAAGATTGAATTCCGTTCTCTGTGTAAAAGGCAGTTCGGAAAGAGACAAAAAACGTTAATCTATAAGATTATGATTATTCAGAAATCGTGAGATGCGGTCTGGTGTGATGTAGGTTTCAGAAAAACATTTTCTTTATCGTGCCAACGTTTCGATCTTTATTGAGATCATCTTCAGGGCCTGGGATTTACTTACTATCAAATACTTTGATTGAATATAAAAATATATTTTGCATTGTATAAATTCACTTGTCCACATCCTAAATGTATTTGTTAAATGTAAACAATGTTTGTAAATCCCAGGCCCTGAAGATGATCTCAATAAAGATCGAAACGTTGGCACGATAAAGAAAAGGTTTTTCTGAAACCTACATCACACCAGACCGCATCTCACGATTTCTGAATAATTATCGATTATTGGTCACTAATCACCGCACATATAAGATTATGGTTGAA